AGGGATGGGAAGGGAAGGGAAGGGACGGAAAGGGAGCGGGAACGGGAAAGGGAAAGGGAAGGGAAAGGAAGGGACGGGAAGGGAAGCAGGCAGGCAGGCAGGCACGGAGGCAAGCAGAAGAGGAGGATGAGGAGGAGAGCTTGAAGTCATGTGGCTTCGCGGCGCCTCTGGCCCGTTGGTGGGGGCGGGGGGAGGCCACGCTGGATTCGGCGGCGAGCGAGGGGGGAGAAGTGAGAAGGAGGAGGGCTTCTCTCGGGGGTGGCCAAGAGGGGGGTGATGACTAGGGGGGGGGCGGATATCATGGCGGGGGCCATGATCTCTCCAGGTATCATGGCGCCTTTTCGTACTTCATTACGTTGCCGGCCACCCCCCCTGGCCCGCACACGTGCCGCCGGCCATGATTTGCGCTTCCCCCTCTTGGACGCCCCCGCTTCCAAGAAGGCGGTGGGACTTCTCGGAAGCCCTCTTGCCTTCTGCCAAGTGTTTTTTTCTCTTTTGTGTATTTTCGGGGAGAGCTAAGACAACTTCTAAGAAATCCAGGGGGCTTGCGAGCCTTTGAGAAGGCCCGGCCCTTCTCACTTCCCCCCCGCGCTCGCCGCGGGCAAATTCTTTCCCAAGGCAAGCGTCCACGAGCGCGATCCTTCCGTTCTTAGATGTACGTCGGGGAACCTGTTCGTGGCCGAGGCTCGCCGTAGCCAGAAGAGCTCTTCGTTTCTCATCCCGCGTGTTCTTTTTGTGGTGGCACGAGGACTGTGGATAGAAACCTCGGTACCAGCTGACGGCCGCCGCCGCGCCGCCCTGCCGCTGACAGCGCGCGCCGCTGCCAGGGCCTCTTGCGAGACCTGCTCACGGGAAAGATCAGGCGCCCCGGCCTGCCCCCGGCCGCGCCGTGGGAGCGGCAGAGTCGGAGGCCCCCGGACGGCGCGGTGGCCACACCGTGTGGTGGGTCAGGGGGGACTGGAAGTTGCCGCGCGTTTTTTTGTTTGTTTGTTTTTGTGGTGTGTTGTTTTGTAGTGTATTGTTTTGCTTTGTTCATGTGTTCTTCTCTGTGCAGATAGTTGATTTCTGGAGTTTAACAGGATTCGCGGCAATGGGCGTGATCGGGGGAGGGTGCGGGAGTTCATCCCCCCCCGATAACATCAGGGCGGGGGGGCGCCATAACTCCCAGGGAATCCCCGAAGAATTCGCAGGAACTTTTTTTGCACATGTGGGCAGCCTGGCGTGTCGTGATTCGGGGGGGGGAGGGGAGGCCTTGAGTAAGATTTAATGTCAGAGAGCGCCTACCTCTGCAGGAACACCAAAAAAGGAACGTCAAGGTGGTCAACCGCCTCGCCGGCTAAGCCGACGAAGATGTGCAGAGTCCAATCGTTCGCTTAATTTATGTCCGAAGTTTTGGCTTGAAGCCGGGTGTGGTGCATCAACTTTTACTTGACCGAACTGGTTGGTTGCGCCCCTTGACGTCCGTTTGGGGTGTTCTGCAGGGCTGACCCCCCAGCCCTGCTCAAGAGGGCCGATCACGGGGAGAGGGCCGATCACGGCCGTCATCGCCCAGGCCTCAAAACACACGCTCCCGGGGCCTGGCTCGTTCGCCGAACATCTCCAGGGCGACTTGAGCCTCGAAGGTCCCAAAGCCGTGCGGTGCCAGACCGTACTGTGAGGTGCTTTCTTTGTGCGTCTCGACGTCACCGCGCGTTCCGTCACCGCACGGGTCTGGGCACCCCCCAGGGCCGAGACCACCATGGCAGCGCGCGTCCCGAGTCTCTCGCGCGGCCCGAAGCCATAGCTCGGCCCGCCTGGCGGCTCTCGTGTCCTGTCCGCCCTTGGGCCCATGCTCCGCCCGCGGCGCCGCGCCCTGGTCGTCGGAGCGTCCGTGCGTGCTTGTCGGGGGGGCATGCAAGGGTGTTCGCGGTTCGGTTGGTTCGGTTGCGCCGCGGTCGGCTGAGGTTTTCGGTCGGTCCGGCCCTGCGGGTGCTCGTGCCGCTGTGCGCCGCCGCGCCCCCCTGGGCTGTTTTTGTCCGCCTGTCGGTGTCGGTCAGTTTCGGTTTCGCTCTCCGGGGAAGCCAAAGGGTGCCGACACCGCTGCTTCCCGGGCCTCGCCCAGGGTGCGTTCTGACCGGGATTTCGATACGAATCCAGCGGCGGCGACGAGGGCTTCCCAGGAAGGGGAAAACGGGGCGAGGGGTAACGGTGCGAAGGGTGGCGGTATGGGTACCATTGCATTCTCTGACTGTCGGAGCGGTGGGTTTTCGGTGTTGCCGTCGCCATGCACGGCCTTGGCAAGGGTGCCCGAGAGAGAAGGGATTGGGAACGCCACGGCCAGGCAGCGGTGTCCACGACGGAACTGGATACGATGCTGCGTGCCGCTGTCTGCGCGTGGCGGGAGTCGTTCGACCGTGCACCACCGAGGTCGTTTGACCTTTCCGCCTTCGGTAGGAAAGCATGGGAGCCTGGTGTACCCTCTTAGTTCCGTCTTTAGCGCCGATTAGCGTCTGGGAGTCGATGAGGCAACGCTGATTTACCGTCGGGTATCGTCGATTAGCGTCGATTTAGCTACGATTTGCGTCAATTTAGCTCCGACTAGCGTCGATTCACAAGAGCGAACAAGAGAGTATGGGAGGCTCTCATGAGTTGCAACCCACTCCGCCGATGGAGTTTGATTCGATCGGTTCATTTATGCAAGCGATGTGGTCGATCTGCGATGTCTAAGTCAGTCTCTGAATGGCCACAGAGGGAGTGGCTCTCTCGGACCCCCATCTCCTTCAGACACCCCCCCCACTGCTCATACGCCCTGGCCCCTTCCAAAAAGGCGGATGAGGTGAGGAAGGATGAGGATAGGGATGAGGGAGTAATCAGGTGGAGTTGAGTGGCGATCCCCGCCTGGCCCACGACGGAAATCCGCTCTGGTCCCGAATGGATCGATTTTGAATTCCTGGCATCTGCTTTCGATCGGTAGTGTGCATTGTCTTGGATCTCGCATGGTGGGGGACGGAGCCCATTGAGCATGTGCTAGAATCAGCTGATCTCTGAGACTGACTGTTGATCCCCCGTCCTGTGCCCCTGGTTATTCCAATCGAAGTGTCCCCCAGCTTTCTGTTAATTAGGGGAAGTCTTTCGGCTCAGACTGCGATGTGGGGCCCCAGACTACGACACCAACACCAACAGCAACAACCGCAACAACAGCAACAACAACAACATCAACAACAACAACATCAACAACAACAACAGCAACAACAACAACAACGGCTCCCGCCGAGTCTTCGAACAGCTCGGCATCCATGCCCCGCTCGACTGGCCCGCACGTGGAGGCCCCGCCCGCCCGCCCCGCCCCGGGAGGCTCCGCCCGCTCGCTGCGCGGCAGCCCGCCCGACCCGCCCGTCGGGGCCCGCTCGCCCGACCTTCGGAGGAGGAAAGGGCACCCTATACCGCTGCCCCTGGCTTGGGTTAGGGGAACAAAAACTGGCATAAACGTAAGAACTCGGAGGTCCGCGCGGATTTCTCGGATCGGCGCCGGACCCCCATGGCGGCGCCTCCGGCGCCGCCCCTGGCGCGCTCCGCGCGCCATGGAGGACCTCAGAGTTTTTCTGTTTATGCTTCTTGTTTTTTGTTCCCCTGTGGCTCTCCACTTCTTGGAAGGCCCCCGTTGCCGCTGCTGGATTCGCCCCGAGACCCCGATCCGAGCGCACCCCGGGAGAGGTCCGGGGGGAGCGGCGGCATGGCGGTGCCCTTTGGCTTCCCCGGGCCTGCCGGCCAGGGCCCGCCCGCCCGACCCGCCCGCGGCGGGCCCGCCCGCCCAGCCTGCCCGTCGGGCCCCCCCCCCCCTGGCGCGCGCTTCGGGGGTCCGCCCGCCCGCGTGGGCGCCCCGGCCTCGCGACCTGCCTCTCCTGGAGGGCGTGCTCGCCCGCCCCGCCCCCTCCGGTCCGGCGCGCCCCGCGTCGGGTGCCGCCCGTGGAGTTTTTCCTGCTCCGCTCTGCGCCCTCCCTCCTCCTCGCCTTCCTCTTGCCCCCCCTCTCCCCGTTCTCCTCTCCTCCTTTGTTCCTGGCTCTCTCCCTTTCCACTTTCCCTCCTCCTCCTCCTCCTCCTCCTCCTCCTCCTCCTCCTCCTCCTCCTCCTATCTCAGGGGCCCTTCCAACTACACGTCGCAGGCAAGGGTAAGATCCCCCCAATGGGGGTACGATCGATGACGAAGAGGGCATTTATCCAGGGCGCGGGGTATACGCGTTGGATGACACGCGAGGAACGAAGAGCGAGCAGTTCTATCATGATTGTTGTTATTTCCGTGATTCGGGATTTCTTTGCTCGTTTGCAGGTCTGGCGAAGTCGTGCGCTGTTGGATTTGCCGATGCCGTGACTGCTCCTCCTGATCTGTGCTTGGTTGGTCGAAGGCCGTTGAGGTTAGATGCGCAATCATAACCCTGAAGGCCACCTCTGTTTTGACTGGCAGGGGGCCACCGGTCTGGGTTCATTTCAAATGTCGCTCGTCCCCGCTCGCGATTCCAGAGCCCCCAGCGGTGCTCCAGTGCCTCCCACGCTTTGGACGGGCCTGTGGGTAGGGCTCACGTGCGGCAAGCTGCCCATGAAAAGCTTCTCCCGCTCCTCGCGCGTCCCATCCCCCTCTCCCTCCCCTTCTCCCCGCCTCTCCGCGCCAGCCCCCCTCGGCAGCGTGCCCCCCGAAGCGACCCCGGCCTCTGCTCTCGGGGGCCTTGACTCGCTTTCCCTGCTCAGGATGCCACTCCTGTGAGGGCAAGCCCAGCATCGGCCCGCACGTGGTCTCGGGCTCCCGCTGAATCCCGCTTGATCCTGCGCAAGTGCGTCATGATGGTCTCAAGTCGGGCTCAATGGCCCCCCACTCGTTTTTGCGGAGACGTGCCAGCAGTTATTTCCGAACCCTGCGTCTTTACCATTAGCGCTGAGGGTCTGCGTATCCGTTCCTCGAGAAGCCGCGCGTGAGGATCCCCGACACATCTGGCTTGCGCCGACCCCAGGTGGAGGTTTTCTCCGAAGGACTCAGGCGACCCGTCCTCCTCCTCCTCCTCCTCCTCTCCTCCTCCTCCTCCTCCTCCTCTCCTCATCTCCCTCACCCTCTTCCCCCTTTTCCTCCACTCCCCCCCTCCTCCTCCTCCTCCTCTCCTCCTCCCTCCTTCTCCTCCTCTCCTCCTCTCCTCCTCTCCCTCCCCCTCCTGCCTCCTTCCTCCTCCTCCCCCTCTTCCACTCCACCAAGCTCCTCCTCCCCCTCTACCTCCTCTCCTTGCTGCCTCCCTCCTCCTCTCGCCCTCTCGGGTCGCTTGGGCCCCAGGGGTCTTGACCGCTTCTCTCTAGGGTCAGTTTCGCGTCCCCTCGGGCCCGGCGAGGACCCCCTGGGGGCTGGGAGCAGCCCAGAGCCGCCCGCTCCAGTCTTCGGGACGATGGATATGGGTACGGAGAGATTGGGTACGGTGCCCAGTAGCCGTCCTTGCTCACTCTCCCGCCCTCCTCATCTTCCTCCTCCTTCTCTTCCTTCTCCTCCTCCTCCTCCTCCTCCTCCTACTCCTCCTCCTCATCTTCCTCCTCCTCCTTCTCTTCGTACTTCTCCTCTTCCTTTTCCGCCTCCTCCTCCTCCTCATCTTCCTCCTCCTTCTCTTCCTCCTCTTCTTCCTCCTCCTCTTCATCTGAACAGGACTCGTCGTGCGCGCCGCCGCGGACGCTGTTCTCTCTGAGGGCACAGAAAGCCGCCTGCCCATAACAGCCACCAGTGTTGGTGTTGGACAACCTTTGTTGTTGGGCATTGTGCCCATGTTTTCCGTACCCGTTTCGGGCGTCCATCATTGAGCGCGGTCCATTATTCGCAAAGGGCCTTTTCGAAAACGTCCGAAACTAATTCATGCCTTCCTCCTGTAGAATGGGTCGTAAATGCCTCACGGCGGATCCAGGCCATTGCGAGCAGTTGCTTTGCGAGTGGGGGAACGCGCTTGTCCAGTCCAGCCTTAAGGCGGGCCTGTCCCTCTACAGGGGGAATATTCAAACATAGTCAAACAATAGTCGTGGGACGATTTTGGTAGTATGTTTGGCCATGTTTGGGGTATTTGTTGAGAACTGTTTTAATTGTTCGTCCAAAATCCCCCTGTAGGAGAACAGGCCCGACCTAAGTCCAGCCTCTTTGTTCCAGTATGTCGGGCCTCTGGCATGCTGGCCCTTGGCCAGCGCACGGGTGCCGCCCAGGCTGCAGTCTGTGCCGAACAGCGACGTGGCCGCGGCGCAGAACGACGTGAAGAGGCCCGGGCTCTGCGGCCCGCTGCTCCTCGAGGAGGAGGAGGAGGATTAGGAGGAGGAGGAGAAGGAGGAGGAGGAGGAGGAGGATGGAGGAGGAGGAGGAGGAGGATGGAGGAGGAGGAGGAGGAGGCACCTGAGGTTGGGATTCATGCACAGCCTCAGCCTGTTCGGACCGTCAAGGAGGGGGGAGAAACCGCACCACCACCCCCCAACCGGCGCTAGAAACACAAAGCGGCCCTGGGCGAGGACCAAGCGGCCCCGCCCTGCTCGATGCCTCCCCTCCTCCTGCCCTCCTCCTCCCCCTCCTCCTCCTTCTCTCCTCCTCCCTCCTCCTCCTCTCCTCCTCCTCTCCTCCTCCCTCTCCTCCCACCCCCCCTTCCCCCCTCCTCCTTTCTCCCCCCTCCTTACCCTCCTCCTCCTCCTCCTCCTCCTCCTCCTCTCCTCCATTCCTCCTCCTCCTCGTCCTCCTCCTCCCCCTCCTTTTCCTCCTCCTCCTCCCCCTCCTCCTCCTCCTCCTCCTCCTCCTCCTCCTCGTCCTGCTCCTCCCCCTCCTTTTCCTCCTCCTCCGCCTCCTCCTCCTCGTTGATTAAGACGGTGGACTTTGATGTTTGCTCCCTGGCTCGGCCCTCGGGGGCCTCGGTACAGGCGGCGGGGGGCGGGCAGAGGGAGGGGGCTTCCCCTCGGCGTAGCTTTAATTAAGGCAGGCGATAAGTCACCATAGTCAAACAGTAGTCTGGGGACCTCTGTTTTCCGATTTGTTTTTGGATCTTATATATATATATATATATATATGTATTTACTAGTGTGGGCCCGTGGAGTAAATCCGCGAAGTTGGGCGGATCGAAGCATGGCGGCGCGCGCTGGGTGGTGCGACGCTGCCAGCTACTGCCGTGGATCCCTTGAAGCTTGTCCTAGTGCTGTTCCAGCACCGAAGGCGCCCAATGCATCGAAACGGGGGCCGAAGTGTTCGACCTTCGCAAGAGGCAGAAATTCAGGAGTCCAGGCCTGAGCAACGTTGGAAGATTCGCGCCGGGATCGCGGCGGACGCGGGAGCGGGTTCGGGCAAACGCGGCGCCGTCTCGGGCCGCGTCGGAGGCGTCGGAACGGCGTTGCGGCAAAGTAGGGGGCGCAGCGGGGCAGCCCCAGGGCCACCGTAGCGTCAACACATTTTTTTTGCGCCTGCGAGGGGCCGCCCCCCTCTGACAGCATTTTTCAAGCTTTTTGGGAGCCGTTTGGGAGCTCTACGGGGGCTGTTTCGGGCTCTTCGGGGGCTTCTCGGAGCCCTCTTGGGCCGGCAGGGCGCCTCGCGGTCCGTCTTGGGGCCGTCTTGGGCCATCTTGGGCGCCTATCGGGCCGTCTTGGGGCCATCGTGGGCTGTCCTGAGCCCCTCTTGGGCCTCTCGTGGGGTCCTCTTGGGTCGTCTTGGGCGCCTCTTGGGCCGTCCTGGGCCCGTCTGGAGCCATCTTCGGGCCCTCTTGGGGCCGTCTTTGGCGATCTTGGAAGCCTCTGGGGCCGTTTTGGACGCTTCGAAAAGCAATAAGCCGAATCTGCTGAATATGTCAATTTTCCGAAGGGGCTGTGACGACTTTAGCTTGATGGAACCCTTTCGCCCCTGGACCCGCCTGGAACCGTCCAGGGGTGTCTTTGGGGCTCATGGGGCCGTCTGGAGAGCATCTTGGGCCGCCTGAGGTCGTCTCGGGGCCTCCATAGGCCGTCTCGGGGCTGTCCTGAGCCCCTCTTGGGCCGCTCGTGGGGTCTTCTTGGGGGTCTTGGGCGCCTCTTGGGCCGCCCTGGGCCCGTCTGGAGCCATCTTTGGGCCCTCTTGGGGGCCGTCTTTGGCGATCTTGGAAGCCTCTGGGGCCGTTTTGGACGCTTCGAAGACCAATAAGCCGAATCTGTTGAAAATGACAATTTTCCGACGGGACTGACGATTTTGGCTTGCTGGAGCCCTTTTTTTTTTTTCTCTCTCTCTCTCTCTCTAGGAGGAGGGCGAGGAGGAGGAGGAGGAGGAGGAGGAGGAGGAGGAGGAGGAGGAGGAGGAGGAGGAGGAGGAGGAGGAGGAGGGGAGAGCCCAGCAGCCGTTGAAGAAGCTTCCCGAGCCGTTCGGTGCAGTCCCCAGTCGGTTTCGCTAATCAACTTTCGCTTCGCAGCATCAGTCCGACTTTTTGGGGGGCCTCGATTCGCTGCGCCGCTGGGGTCTAATCGGAACTCGGCGCCGTGCGCACGGGGAGCGCCCCCCTGGCAGCTTTTACTGCATGGCATTCTGTTAGAGGGTGTTTTGTCCGTCCTCGATCCAGGTTGAACCTTCATTGCGCAAGGCCTCCTCGCACAAAGGTCGTCCGTGGCCCCTGTCTTCGGGCCCCATGTTGCGGTATCGTCCACACGTATCGCCGCGCGTGCAGAAGTCTCAAAGTGTATGTTTGATGGCGGGCGCTCTCTGGCCAACCGTTGGGGCAACGGCATACTGCGACACGAGTGCGCTGTACTCTCGGTTCGGACGTGTGCCTCCGGCGGGGGGGCGCGCAGTGTTCGCGTATGCCTCTGCCTCCCAGTGTTTGAAGGTCCCACATTGGGGGACCGCATGCGAACCCTACCCCCACCCTCCCCCTCAGGAATCGTGGGGGGCGGGGGTAGGGTTCGCATGTGGCCTCCTACCCACACCGTTAGGTCCGACGTCGCAAAATCCAGCTGCAGCATCGCGACACAGCGACCGCAGCCACAGGACCGATCTTTCCTGCCCGCAGCCGGGCAGAACCGCCGGAAGGTGGACCCCCCCCCACCTTGTCGCCCCCCGTAGATGAACGTCCGGGTCGGGGCGCACCTCGGCAGCCCCTAACTAGGGGAACGAAGGACAACAGAATCAGGAGGGAAAGAAACACACAGACACAATTAATCGTCGATTTCCCAGAAAATATTGGAAAATATGGGAAGTGGGGGGAAGACAAACACCTAGAAAATATGGGAAAATATGGGGAATCCTTTTATTTGTGTGTAATTATTTGTGCGTCCCAGGGCCCCTTCACATAGACAGAACTCGGAGTTCCGCGCGGATTTTCTCGGATCGGCGCTGGACCCCCCTCCCTGGCGCGCGGAGCGCGCCAGGGTCGGCGCCAGAGGCGCCGCCAGGGGGGTCCGGCCTGGATCCAAGACATTTACGCGGAGCTCCGAGTTGTCGGGGGTGGACAGACCTCCTGCCCTGACACGTCGATTAAGGAATTGGCCGTTTTTGGTCCGCGAGAGGGCGTCGCGGCCGTCGTTTTGGCGGGTCCAGGTCCGTCGGTTCCGGCCCCATGCAGTTTTCACTGAAGGGAGGTTTGCTAAATGGAGGTTTGTCCACCGCCGGAGTGGTTTATGTTTGTGTCATGCTTCGTCCCCCCGGCCCTGGAGGGTTTCTCCGAAGGGCTTAGGCGACCCGGCTTCCTCCTCCTCCTTCTCCTCCTTCTCCTCCTCCTCCTCCTCCTCCTCCTCCTTCTCCACCCCCTCCTCCCCCTGCTCCTCCTCCTCCTCCTGCTCCTCCTCCTCCTCCTCCTCCTCCTCCTCCTCCTCCTCCTCGGGTCGCCTACGGCCCCGGGGGAAACCGTGCACCCGGCCCCCGTGCCAGGCTCTCGCTGCCGCAGCTGCTGAAGCTGCGGGTGCTGCACCTCGACTTCGTCCCCAGCGGCGCGCTTCTGCGCCGCCCCGACGGGGGGCCCAGTCGGGGGCCTGGCCTGGGCCGGCTTCTTTCAGGAGGGAAAGAAGCACACAGACAAAATTCATCGTCGACTCCAGCAAAATATGGGAAAATATGGGATGCGGGGGGCAAGACAGAAGCCCAGAAAATCTGGGAAAATATGGGGAGTCTTTTTATTTGTGTGTGTTTATTTGTGTGTCCTGGGGCCCCTTCATTCTTGGGCGCGACGGTGCCACCCGGATCTTCCTAGGAGTCAGGAGGGAAAACACACAGTCACAGGTATTCGTTGATTTCCAGGAAGCGCATGGGAAAGTGTGGGAAGCGGATGGGGGGCGACGACGTTCTAGAAGGTATCGATGATGATGCTGATGTTTCTTTTTGTCTCATATTACATATATATACACATATGTTCACATCTATACGCATATGTGCAGGGGAGTCCTTGGTTTTGTGTCTACTTCTTGATGTGTCCCGCGGCCCCTTCGAAGAGACATGTCTTCGGGCCGTCTGGGTGGATCTTGGGGCCGTCTTGGAGCCATCTTTGGGCAGTGTTCTGGCCATACTGGAAGGTGTCCGGGCCGTTCTGGGTGGGGTTGTCTTGGAGCCTTCGTCGGCCCTCACAGGGCTCTCTGACGTGCTTCCGAGGCGTTGTCGTGTTTGGAAGCCTAGGAATCAACAAACACAGGTATGTCAGACTTAGATTCTGAAGGCTTATTTCACATACTGGGCCATCCGCTCGTGTCGAGCGTCTGGGAATTTTCCATGTGCGTCATGGTGGCGTTGGAGACGCACGACAGTTGCGTGTGCGCGGAGCGTTGCTGGGAGACCGACAAGCCCAAAGAGGAGGAACGTGAGAATGTCAACCAGGAGCCGAACAATCGCAAACGAAAAGCAGAAGCGGAGGCAATCGTTGACGTGTGCTGTGTGCGGGGAAGAGTTTTCGGACGCAGCAAATTTGAAGAAGAGGGGCACATTGAGCATCATCGGACGACGAAGCAGCTTCGCGTGGTGTGCGAGGATTGCAATGCCACAGGTAATTGCCGAAGTCGGCGTTCGCCGTGGACAGTAATTAGCAGAGTCGCCCGAGACGAGAAGAAGGGCACCCTGAAGTGCAAACCGTGCAAATGATTCCCCGTCGGGCGCCCGCACCGTTGTCCAGGGCTGGACCTAAACGTTGTTGTTCGTTTTGTTTTCGTTATGTTTTTCGTTTTGCTCGACCTGCTTTCCTGTACCTCCCCGCCAAAACGGAAATCAAAACACAGATGAAGTCCAGCAGCACAACGTTTAGGTCCAGCCCTGCCGTGGTCCGCAGATGCAGGGCCAGGCGCAGACAAAGCGCGAGGGGCGACGAAGCCGATGCGAAGGGGCAAGCTCGGGAGGAGAGAGTGAGGGAGGAGGAGCAGGGGGAGGAGGGGGACGGGGGAAGGAGATGAGGCGGAGGAGGAAGAGGAGGAGGAGGAGGAGAAGGAGGAGGAGGAAGATGAGGAGGAGGAGGAGGAGAAGGAGGAGGAGGAGGATGGAAAGAAGAGGAGGAGGAAGAGGAGGGGGGGGAGGAGGAGGAACAGTCAGGACCTTGTCCTGGGGTCTGCACTCGGGCCTCTGGTGGTCGTCCAGGGCGATGCGGGCATCCCAAGACGACGGGCGAAAGCTTGTGTTGACAGGCGGCAGGCATGTGTCGAAACACGCGTTGAATGATTTTTCGAGTTGCTTCGGTGCATCCCGCCACCGGGCTTGGTCTGTGGAGCTGAGGCCAGTCAAACGGGTGATGGGGTCTCGTGGGCAGCCTCTCGGGGACGTCCCGGAGGAAGTTTTTGTACCTCCTGGGGGCCTCCTGGGGGGCTGGGGGCCTCTTGGGGCCTTTTTCGCGTTCCCTGTGGGCATCGTGGGACCTTTTGGGTTTTTTGGGGCCAACATGGGCGCGTCTCGGGGTCGAAGGTTCGAAATGTATGGTCGGGTTCCCGCTCTGGGCCTCCTCTTGGGGCCGTCGTGGGGCCCTCCGGGGCCGTCTGGAGGCTTCTTTGGCCATATTTGGGCGCCGCGTGAGCCGTGTTGGGGCTCTCTTGAGGGTCTCTAGGGCCGCCGGCGATGTCGCGAAAACCCAGCAGGAGCAGATGCCAAGGGGGAGGAAACGAGTTTTGCTTCTCAGGGCCGTCTTGGGAAGCCTCGTGGATGCCTCTTGGGGCATCGTGGAGGCATCTTCAGCCGTAGAAAGGCCATCTTGGGCGTCTTCGAACAAGTGTTGACGACTCGGCCCTCGTGAACTATCTATGGAAACTCTTGGGGCCCTCTTGGCCCGTTCTGAGGCCCTCGGCTCTCCCATGATGAGTTCGCGCAGGGCCAGGGGGGGGGGGTCAAGTTTTCGGTTTGGGGTCCCCAGGGGGGGCAGACTTCTCTATGCGCAGGGGGGCAGACTTTAGGGGTCCCCAGGGGGGGATTACGGCGCGGTCGAATCTCACACGCCTAGAGACCCGCACGGGGTCGGCAGCCTTCTTCATGGCGTCCTATGGTTTTGGGGCCTATTTCGATGCATCTTTGACATTCTTATCTTTGATCTCTCGGGTGGGCTTGGGCTGGTCGTGGGTTCTGATTTTCCAACCTACCTCAGCCTTTCGACCGCCAGAAATAATCTCGAGCACCAGGAGGGTATCGGAACGGGGCGGTTTTCTGGCGTCGGACCCTGGGAGGCGATCCCTGTTGGGCCTTTCGCCAGCGCGTCGGGTAGGCACTATTCCGAGACTTTTCGGGGTGCTCGATTTTATGCGGGGCGTTCCAAAAAGGGTTTTGCCTTCGAGGATGGAAGGAGCTGCCATCTCGTCCGCGGCGGAAGGCGGCGGAAGGGTGGCGGAAGGTCGGCGAAGCAAAACGAGGCCGCCTCCAGCGGCGGAAGGCCGGCGGAAGGCTGCGGAAGCGAGAGATGTGCCTCCAAGAGATGAAAACGCTTTTGGGCCCAGGGTTTCCAAGATCGCCCATTTCTGAGAGCAGCAGACGTCTTGGAGCATAGTTTACAGTGCCGTTTCTGATGCATGCTCCGCGTGCGGATCGTGTATTAAACATGAGTTCATGCATATATTTATTCATTAATTAATCATGTGCTAAAAATCTCATATTCTAAACAATCCTATGTATTGAAAACTGCCCTGTAGGTTCCTCGCGGGGGCGCGCAGGTATGTAGTCGCGCTCGTCGCGCGCCGCGGTCTCGGCCAGAGCGGCCGGCCCTTCTCCAGAGGGCGTCGCGTCGGGGCGCAGCGGCGCGAGGAGGAGCGCGCCTCGCGGGGCGCAAGGGCGCGAAGCTCGGTGACCGTGGTAATTTCAGGCCTCGGAACAAATCAGCGAACACTCAATGCCACATTCATCTGTCAACGCCTCCCTCACCCCCCCAATGCAGCGAACACTCAATGCCACATTCATCTGTCAACGCCTCCCTCTCCCCCCAATGTTCAAAGTTGGCGGTGGGTCTGATGACGTGCACTTCGACCGCAGTCTCCCCCTACGCGTGCCAACATTGAGTTTGGGGGGAGGGGGAGTGTTCAGTAATTGTTTCCCTCTACCGTATTGTTCGAGTATGGGACCGATTACATGATTGATTTACCCCAGATTTGATTTTCATGTCGAGTCTTCAATCGAAATACGTAGAATGTTAGTAGAAAGTTCTGCGAAGTGTCCGAGGCTTCTGCGGGGAAAATCAGGTCTGGGTTAAATCGATTCTGTGGTCGATCCCCCACTCGATTTGTACCCGTCTTGACGGCTGCATTTGGGGCATTATGGGGCCTTCTCGGAGTCGTTCTCAGGGACAACGAAAAAGGGGGGGATAGGCATGCGGGGGGACGCATCGGTCCCCAATCGTCCACATCGCCGATAGGGGCCTGACAGTCCCAACCTTCCCAGGAAGGTTCGGATTCACGATCGGAGGCCTATCGCCGATCTATCGGCGATGTATCGCCGATTCCAGGTCGATGCATCCACCCCTCTGCCAGCCCCGCCCCTCACGTTTGTAGACCGACAGCGAGCGCCATAGAACAAACGTTAGGGAGGCGACCCACAGGCTGGTGCTCGGCCCAAGGAGGCCTCGGGACTTCCAAGGAGGGCCCCCACTGCCTCCAGGGTAGGGCGAGGAGATCTATAGATGCTCACTGCTCCCTGGCCGCGCCCATCCTGAATCGGGCAGCGGTGTGCACGCCACGCCCTCCTGGCCTGGCCAGGAGGGCGCATGCACAGCTCCTGGGTTCGGGGTGGCCCTGGCCAGGGAGCAGCGGATACGTATAGCTCTCGTCGCCCTTCAGGGCGCCTGCCACGAGGTCCAGGGCGCCCCAGCTGGATTCGAGGTGGAGCGAAAGGCCGGACACGGCCTGGGCCTGGGGCCCTTCGACGCACGTGCTCGCGACGAGGAGGACGCACGTCCGGAGGAGCACAGAAGTCCAGTCGGGCAACCACCGAGAGAGACCCCTTTCTTTTCTGTTGAGTTGCCCTGGCAACATGGCCGAGGGCGGGGACACGGGGCCCTGAGATTCAGCGCATTGAACATCTCAAGACGTAGGTTTTTCGCCGCCTTCGGCCTCCAGAAGATCTCTCGCCGAGCCCTGGGGCCGTCTAAAGGCGACTCAATCTGAGAGTCCGGTCCTGGGGAATGGGTCGAGACTTCCAGGGGCCCCGTATATTGAGAAAGTCACGACGGCGGATCTGTGGGGGAGGGAGGTGGCCGGTCATGTCACGATTCGTGCTGGCGCCGTCTGGGAGTGCGTAAGAAGGGCCAATTCCCGGGCGGTGCCAGCGCGAGTCGTTACGCGACAAGGGGGGGGAGGGGGGAGGTTCAGATGCAAATCCTGGGAGGTCAAGTTCTGATTTTGCCCTGGTCCGAAATCCAGTTTAATCTGGCTTAATTCCGCATAATCTGGTTGAATCCCGTTCAAATTGGTTCAATCCCGCTGAATCCGCGGCCCAATCCGGCGCATCGGCCCCGCAGTGGGGCTGAATTCCCCTTAGTCCTTACGACGAAGACCTCCCAGTTGTCGCCTCCTAAGGTATGGACGGGGGCTTGCCTGGGGGCTGGTCATGGGCGCCATCGCGAATCGTACAGTGGGGATCCATGCCAAGACTCACCCTGCTTGCCTCCTAGGTGTCCTTGGTTCCTTGGGTTTCGATGCTCTTGCCACGGAAAGCGCGACGCTCCCACTCCAAGAATCCATGGACTCCCTGGGGTCTCAGGGGCGGGGTTGATGTGGAAGGTCTTTTGTGGACTGGCCTCCGCTGCAGACACGTGGGCTCCGGTCGCGCGCGCGCGGTGTGGCGGGGACCGAGATCTGGAAGGACCCCCCCCGGCAGCGGCCCCTGCCCCTGCGCGAGGCTGCGGCGCGGACACCGTGCACTCCGTGGGCGGCACGCAGGAGGCGCGGCCTGGTCTCGCACGCCGCCGTCCGTGCGTCCGTCCGTCCGCCCGTCCGTCGTCGTCGCCGTCTGTCAGTCCGTCGTCGTCGTTGTCGCCGTCGCCGTCGTCGTCCGTCGTCGACGGCGGCATTCGGAGCTTTGTCCAATGGTTTTCGACGGGTTGCGGGAGTTCCAGGGTGGGCTCGAAGGATGCGGAGGCGGAGGAAGGAGGAAGGAGGAGGGAGGATGAGTGCGAGCTCCCCGACAGGCAGTCACGCGGTGAAGAGCTCGCTGCGTGAGAAGAGGGGACTCGGCTGAAGCGGGGGCGCGTCGGAGGGGGCACGCATCCGCGAGCAGGCCAAAGGCGAAGCTCCCCATGCCCTGGCATCGTTCCAGCGTGTGCAGTGTTTCTCATCGAGGACCTTCCAGGAGCACCGTGGATCATCTTGCGAAAGAGACACCCACGAACCCGACACATGCACGGGGAGTGGACGTCCGAGCGACGGCAAGATGTCCGCGCCACACCTCTCTCGGCTCTTCCCTGCATGGCTTGCCGTGCCCGGGCTTCTCGTCCCGCGTCCAGCTGGCCAGGAAGAACCCCGATCCTCTGGCCGACTGGAGGCGGGGAGGGGACTTTGCAGCAAGGCCGCACGCTGCAGGCCTTCAGCGTGAGCCTTCCGCTGCACGAGGGCGGTGCACGCACTTCTTCCCCTCAGCGCTCCCCCTGCTCCTGAAGGCCTCTCACATGGGTTCCGCGCAGAAGGGGTCGGAGGAGTCCGCCGCATCGGCGATGCGTAGGCGCTCCACGTCGACGCCGCCGATGCGTCGCCTTCGCGCTTAGATGGATCATCACACGTTTTTCCCCCTCTGATAAAAATAAATATAAACAGACTGCTGGTAGTCGTAAGAAACGCGTGATGTTCCAACTGTGCATCGGTGGCGCATCGGTGATTGCATCGGCGATGAGGTGCGATCCTCCTACCCCAGCTGCTCTGACCCCATCCAGGAGGCCCCTGTCCGCCCTCCCTCCTTCTGCGTCCCCGCTCGTTAACGCCTGGCGCCTGCTGGCATCCTGCTCCCTTCTCCTCCCTCCTCCTCCTTTTCCCCCTTCCCCTCCTCCTCCCCCTCCGCCTCCTCCGCCTCCTCCTACTCCTCCTCCTCCTCCTCCTCCTCCTCCTCCTCCTCCTCCTCCTCCTCCTGCCTCCTCTGCTCTCCTCCTCGCTCCTCCTCCTCTCCTCCTCCTCCCTCTGTCACCCCCCTCCTCTCCTCCTCCCCCTCCCCCTCCTCCTCCTCCTCCTCCTCCTCCTCCTCCTCCTCCTCCTCCTCCTCCTCCTCCTCTTCCTCCTCCCATCGCCGGGGGCGGCATCAGCCCCTCGCCGCCCCGCGCGGCGGGCGGATGTCCCCGCCGGCGCAGCCGCCCGCGGCTCTGGCACCGCGCGCGTGCGCACGCGATGCACCCCTCGGGGGCTCGCAGCAGAGGGTCGGACTTGGAGGGCCAAGCCTACCTTCGGGCAGTGGCGAAGCGTCGTGGCTTGCCTATACGCTCACCAAATAATGTTATGATGTCCTTAGAACATGTCCTTAGAACATGTCCGGCTGAGACTCTCGCCGTCTTGTTTCAACACAGCGGGTTTATGTTCTAGTTTTTTGTTTGAGATTCGAAAGTTTGTGGGTTTTGAGGAGATTCTGCGGTAGGCATATAGGAATGCCGGGACGGTCGGTCCTTGCTCAATACCTGCTCTTCGAAGACCATCATCTGGTGCCGATGCCAAATGCCGTTCTCACGTCCTGGCCAAAAGCGTCTATGGACACATTGGATGCCGTGACGTCCATTGACACTTTCGGGGTGGATGCGTCTATGCACAGCGCGGTGCAAGGTCGGAGAACGGGTAGACTCATCTACGAGATGTTCCTGTTCTAGAGCAGGTGTCACATGGTGGACGGGCCTGGGACGAGGACAGATCCGTTCATAGAGCGCTCCAGAACGCTCCCAGAGTGTTCCGGAACGCTCAGAGTCTCCACAAGAGGAGCGCGAGCGTGACCCCTCTGGGCGCGGACCTCCGACGGTTTAGTGTTCGTGCTGCTTGTGCTCTTGGTGCTTCTAGCTGCGCGGTGGCTGCGTGGCGCGGGTCCTTTTCGAGGCGGAGAGCCCACCCTGACCCCAACAATTGGCGTTCACTGTAAACTCGGACATAGCCAGGACCCCGAGTAAGGGGAGCCGGTTGTGGATTGGTCACCGAAGCCGAACAATACGGCGGTGGCATTGGGCCCAGACCCTGGTGCAGACCCTGGTGCATTTATTATTGTTTCAAGGCGAGGTGGGTGTCCGACGTTTGGCCGCCCATCGGTCGCGAGACCCTGGGTTTCTTATCGAAGGTATCCTTATCTAAAACCTCCACCGTAGACTGGAATCACTAGACCAGGTCTGCAGTAGCTGGTTTTTCTTCGGGTGGCGGCAGTTTCAGTTCGTGGAATGGGACGGGGGGGGCGTCCCCCAGTACACATCACTAAACCAGGTCGCACTAAACCTAGTCCTGCCAACGCCCGATAAAATGGCCCTGGGCGTTTGCTAGACAGCCCTGCCCTGTTCGACTGCTTCCCTGCTCATTACGAGGGTGGTTTTCCGGCTCTCTAATCCTGGGCTTTTCGGCTTCGCTCCAGGGGCAGCGTTTTCTACCGCGGACAGCCACTCCCCGGCCCGGGCCCTACAGCACCCCCCAGCGGCCGCAATCTGCAGAACGCGCCCGCCGTGTCTCTCCTTCGTGTTGGGGGCGCCTGGAGGTCAGGGTGTCGGGGCGACCTCGGGGGGGCAGACATCCAGCCTTCGCCCCGGGAGACCGCCGCAGGTCGCTGGAGGCCGCCGCAGGCCGCAGGGAAACAGCGGGTGTCCGGGGTCGAATGCGCACCGGTGCTCTTGATTCTCCGACGCCGTTGTTGCTGCCTTGCTGTTTTGGATCTCTGGGCCCCAGAGCTCCTCCTCCTCCTCCTCCTCCTCCTCCTCCTCCTCCCTCCTCCTCCTCCTCCAGGTCCCCCTCCTCCTCCGCCTCCTCCTCCTCCCTCCCGCCTTTGGCCTGGGGCTTCCTTTTCGCCACAGGTCGTGCAGCAGCTCGCGGGAGCCTCGTGTGTGCCCTCGCAGTGCCGTCTCCAGGAGCGGCGCGGGGGTGCGCAGCAGCACGCCGCAGTCGGCGAGGGAGCGCCGACCCGTCGCCCGCGTCGGCTGGCGTCGCGTCGCGGGAGCCCGCAAGAGGACAGGGGAGGCTCCCGTGAGTTGCCACGGACCAGAGATTGTTGCAGTTGCTGTTGTTGCTGGTGATGTTGTTGTTGCTGTTGTTGTTGCTGTTAGGTTTGGTGCTGTTGTTGTTGGTGGTGGTGTTGTTGTTTGTGTTGTCGTGCTCGTTGTTGGTGTTGCTGTTGTTGAACATTATTTATTCTAAAGAATAATTATTGTTGGGCCCCCTGGTGCGCGCCCCCCCTGCGCCGCCTAGGCCGCAGCTACATTTTCATTATTTTCGTGAGGAAGCCTCAGAAAAGAGGGTGTGTACAGGATCCGGTTGTTTTGTTGTAATCCGCTTTCCCTTGCAAAAAACAATAGAAAATGACATTTCTTGTTCTAATATAACCAAATTTCAAGAATCCCTTGCAAAAAATAAGGTAAAGTGGACATTCGCGCGCGCAAGACGAAATCCTTCCAAAACCTTAGTTTCGTAGCGATTTTAACATAAAAACATCAAAAAACAATGGTTTTTCAACAAAAAAATGTCAAAATTTCATCCCGCGCGCTCTTGCGGATTCGTAGGAAACCCAACACTTTTTAAACATTTCTGTCAAACGGGCTTTTGCGAGCAACTTTTTCGAACTTCTGCGACAACGGTTGCGCACCTGCCAGGGCCATCATCCCTGTCAAATAATACCATGCGGGACACATTCGTTTTTTCTTCGCGCGCGCACGCCGTCGTCGTCGGCCGCGGGGCCCTGAATAGTAGCCACGGTCGTCCGCATGCCACGAAGTGAAGTGTCCGAACGTCATAGGGCGGGAAGCTGGGTGTGGGTGGTGGCGAAGAGTCGTTTGGAAATTTGGTAGAGCTTGAACCGGCCCCCCCACAAAGTGGGGGTATTGCCCGCCTCCTATGAAAACCCTGGCACTGGTGAGAACGGTGTGTCCCCACGTGCTAGTAATTGCTGTTGTTGTTGCTGCTGTTGTTGCTGTTGTTGTTGATGCTATTGCTCTTGTCGATGCCATTGTTGTTGTTGCTGCTGTTGTTGTAGAATTTTCACTACCAACGAATAATTCTTTACGCTTCGCGTATCCCCACCAGCCCATCTCACAACAGCAACTCTTGCGAAGCATGCCGTCAGTCGTGTTTTTTTTCAGGCGTGTGTCCGCTTGGCCCCGCATATCTCCCCTGTTCCTCCTTCCTCCCGCCTCCTTGTACATCCTCCTTGTGGGGGGAGCGGGAGAAGGACGAGGCGGAAGAGGAGGGAGAGAAAGCGCTCCTCGTGGTTTGAGTCGTTTGGGGTTTCTCGTCCTGGTGTGAGTCGTTCGGGCCCTTCTTCCTGGTGTGAGTCGTTCGGGCTCTTCGTGGTGTGAGTCGTTCGGGCTCTTCGTCCTGGTGTGAGTCGTTCGGGCTTCTCGTGGTGTGAGTTGTTCGGGCCCCTCGTCCTGGTGTGAGTCGTTCGGGCCCCTCCTCCTGGTGTGACTCGTTCGGGCTCCTCGTGGTGTGAGTCGTTCGGGGCCCTCGTCGTGGTGTGAGTCGTTCGGGCTCCTCGTGGTGTGAGTCGTTCGGGCGCCTCGTCCTGGTGTGAGTCGTTCGGGCCCCTCCTTCTGGTGTGAGTCGTTCGGGCTCTTCGTGGTGTGAGTCGTTCGGGCCCCTCGTCCTGGTGTGAGTCGTTCGGGCTCCTCGTGGCGTGAGGCGTTCGGGCACCTCGTCCCCTTTTGGGGCGTCTTGGGGGCCTCTTGGCGGCCCCAGGGGCTTCTAGGAGCGTCTTGGGTGCCTTGGGGGAGCCTCTTCGGGCCTCTTGGGAGCCTCTTGGAGGCCGTTTGGGGCGTCTTGGGGGCCTCTTGGCGGCCCCAGGGGCTTCCAGGAGCGTCTTGGGTGCCTCGGGGGAGCCTCTTGGGGCCTCTTGGGGGCCTCTTGGGGGCATCTTGGGGGCCTCTTGGAGGCCTCTTGGGGGCCTCCTGGGGGCCTCTTGGGGCCATCTTGGGGCCTCTTGGTGCCTCCTGGGCGCTTCTTGGGGCCATCTTGGAGGGAATCGATCAAAGAAGAGGGGAGCTTTAATGAGCGCTGCCCCCTCAGAAGGGCAAAATGAGGCCAAAACCTTCGTAAAATCAATGATTTAGCCTTGAAAGAAGAGGGAAGCTTTAAGGAGCGCTGCCCCCTCAGAATGCCAAAATGGGGCCAAAACCGTAGTAAAATCAATGATTTTGGCTTCAAAGAAGAGGAGAGGGTTTTTTCTTCCTCCCCCCGTCGGGGCCAGACTCCTCGTGAGGGGTGTCGTGTTTTAGCCCTCCCAGGAGTCGAAAAGGACTCCCCTGACCACCCGCGATGGGACCTCTCCAGGCCCAGGGGGAGGGGGTAGGGGGAGTCCCCCGCTCCGGTGACCATTGTGTTTTCTCAGTTGAAGTGCTTCCCCCAGTGCTTGCACCCTGTTTCAAATCAGGGAGGGTCACGGGGCATAAGCTGGGCCCCTGGCCCTCGGTTTACAACAACAACGGCTCCCGCCTGATACTTCCTGGCAATGTATTCCCAAATCGCGCTCTCGCGCGGGACTTCCTCACAATCCATGTGCGCATCGCGCTTTCGCGTGGGACCCCCCCGCAATTTATTCAGACGATGCGCCCTCGGCGCTCAGGAATCAGGCTCTCGCTTTGGCTTGTCTCGCGATTTACTTGTGAATCGCGCTATCGCTCGAGACTTCCTCGCGATTCATGCGGGACACACGCTTCAGCAACCCGCCTGCTCGACCTGGTCGCCTGGGCCCGCCTTCCCGACCTGACCGCTATGGGTCTGCCCACCCGATCTGCCTGTCTAGTTCTACCACTTGTGTTCTGCTCCGTGCCCCCCTCCTGCCAATTTCTCTTGTGCTCCATTATTCTCCCTCACCCTTCCACGCGTTCCCGCTGCAGCGCTGGCGTCATTTCCCGTGCCATGCCACGGCATGCAATGCAATGCTAGGTTGATACTACGTTTTGCGGTCCTCTTCTACGCCATGTCACGCCGTGCTCTACAATGCATCGCGTACCCTTTCGGGATCATTGCCCTGCTCGACATCCGACTGTGCGAGTAGAGAGGGGATCTGCGCCGTGGTAAGGGATGGGAGGGAGGGGTAGGATGTCAGATATGACGCGAGCGCACCTAGCTTGCCCCCCCCCTCTCTCCTGCCCCCCCCCCTGTTCCCCCCCCCTCTCTCCTGTCCCCCCCCCTTGCAGACGACCCTCTCTCCTGTCCCCCCTCTCCCCCTGCCCCCCCCCCCCCCCCCCCTTGCAGAGCGCCCATCTGCAAAGCGGAGCCCCCCCGCCTTTCCCTGCAGCTCCCGCTCCCGCCGGAGAGGGCCCCCCCCTTGCAGCCCCCCCCCCCCTTCAGAGCGCCCCCCCCCCCCTCTCCTGTCACCCTCGCAGAGCAAAGCTCCGGGGGTTGGGGGGTGGGGGGGCGAAATCGTGAGGGGGGGGCTGGCAGGGGGGGGGAGGTGCCGAGCACTGAATTCGTCAGTTAATGAGGTCCCCCCGCTCGCAGAGCGAAGCTTGAGCGAGCCCAAGCCCACGCTTTCAGAAACTCACACGCCGGATCGGCGGGCAACCGTTGCGGCGGTTCTTACACTCAGGGGGGGCGTCTCCAATTGAAGCAGGACTGCGGCCGTGCAACGCCCAAACACGTCTTCTTGTTCAGGCGTGTTTTTTTCCGCTCTGGCCGAAGAGCACCAGGATTTGCTCCCCATGGCCGTCTAGGGCCAGTGAGGACTTGTGGTGCTCCTTTTGACACCCTCGTAGATTTTGTGTGTTCACACGTCGCTCTGTCTGAATGGTTTGTGAAGTTGATCGCCGAGAAACATATGAGGTGGGGGCGCAGGAGGAGCAGCAGGCGAAGGGGGAAAATGGAGGAGCCGGGAGGAGGCTTGATGAGAATGCGGAGGCCGATGGGGATGGTAATCCGGTTGATGTTGATGATGATGATGACGATGTTGATGATGATGATGATGATGATGATGATGATGATGATGATGATGTTGTTGATGATGATAATGACGATGTTGATGATGATATGTACGTTGATGTTGATGATGATGCTGATGATGATGATCATAACGAATGCGATGATCATGATGATGACGACGACTCATGGTGGTGATGGTGTCGATGCTTATGATTATGCTGCTGGTGGTCACGACGTGGACGACGACGATGATGATGAGGCGGACGATGATGTTTTGGGTTTTGGTGTTGACGATGACGATGCTGCTGCTGATGTCGATGCTACGACTGATGTCGTTGCCGTTGATTTTTGTGTCTGTGATGTCGTTGACGATGATGATATTGATGCTGTGATTATGATAGTGATGATGCTGCTCCTGCTGGTGCTGCTGGTGATGGGGCTGATGACGATGATGACGGTGATGATGATGCTGCTGCTGCTGATGATGATGATGATGATGGTGACGTTGGTAATGATGCTAATGCTGATGCTGATAGTTATGATTAGTATGATGATTATGATGATGATGATGCTGATGATGATACTGATGCTGATGAGTCAGCTGACGATCCTGATGCTGATGCAGATGATGATGATTCTTATGCTGGTGTCGATGATGATGCTGTTGCTGTTGATGATGCTGATGCTGCTGTTGATGCTGCTGATGATGACGACGATGCTGATGAGGATTATGAAGCTGCTGCTGCTGAGGATGCCGGTGATGCTGCTGCTGATGATGCTGCTGATTATGATGTTGAGTCAATGCTGTTTCTGCTGATGACGATGTTGATGCTGATGCTGTTAATAATGATGATGCTGATGGTGATGATGCTGATGCTGCTGCTGCTGATGCTTATGAGGACGATGCTGATGATGATGCTGATGCTGGTTATGTTGCTGATGATGATGATGCTGACGGTGGTAATGATGATGATGCTGATACTGATGATGATGCTGCTGATGATGATGATGATGTTGATAGTGATGATGATGCTGAAGATGATGATACTGATGATGCTGATGATGCCGATGCTGCTGCTGCTGATGATAATGATGATGGTGCTGACGATGGTGATGCTGATGATGATGTTGTTGATGCTGATGCTGCTGATGATGATGATGATGGTGATGATGATGATGATGCTTATGGTGATGATGCTGATGGTGATGATGCTGATGATGATGCTGATGGTGGTGGTGGTGATGATGATGATGATGATGCTGCTGCTGATGATGCTGATGCTGCTGTTGATGATGATGATGCTGATGATGATGATGATGATGATGATGATGATCATGATGATGATGATGATGATGATGATGATGATGATGATGATGATGATGATGATGATGATGATGATGATGATGATGATGATGATGATGATGATGATGATGATTATGATGATGGAGATGACGACGAATCGTGATGCGGAGAAGGATAATGATATTGATGAGCTTGATGAGATGGAGGAGAAGCAGTGAGAGGAGGGGCAGTTGGAGGAGGAGGAGGAGGAGGAGGAGACGGAGGAGGAGGAGGAGGAGGAGGAGGAGGAGGAGGAGGAGGAGGAGGAGGAGGAGGACAACGAGGAGCATGGCCATAAGGAAGAGTATTTGGATGGGGGAGGAGCATGCACAGGAGCAGGACCAGTGGAGGAGGAGCTGGAGGAGAAGGGCCATGAGCATGACCAGGAGCAGGTGGAACACGACGAGGAGGAGGAGGAGGAGGAGGAGGAGGAGGAGGAGGAGGAGGAGGAGGAGGTGAAGGAGGAGGAGGAGGAGCACAGGAGCAGGAGCAGGAGCAGGAACCTGGAGGATATGCAGGGGCGAAGAAGGAGGAGGGAGGAGGCGGAGGCGGAGGAGGAGAGGGAGCACGAACACCAGCACGAGGAGGCAGGAGGGAGGAGGCAGGAGGGAGGAGCGAGGAGGAGGCGGGAGGAGGGAGGAGGGAGGAGGGGAGGGAGGAGGGAGGAGCGAGGAGGAGCGTGGGGGAGGCATGGAGGCGGGGATGGAGGCGGGACGGCGCCCGGCCCCTCGGCGCGCGGGGCCGCTGCGGGAGGCCTTCCTGGCGCTCCTCGACGGCCTCCTGTTCCAGCAGCTCGGCAGGAGGGCCGCCGGGGCCCTCCTGGGAGGCGCGGCGTCCGCCCCCGCCGCAGAGCAGCCGGGAGCTCCCGCCGAGGGAGGGGTGACCGCCTCTCCACATCCCTCGGAGGCGAAGCCCTGTCCGAGGCGTCTCCACGGAGGCCAGGGGCGAGGAAGGGTGCCCGGGGCTGGAAGCTTGCGCAGCTCATCGTCACAGACGTGTGGGCTTTTTGGTCCGAGCTCGGCTCCCTGGCGGCCGTTCGAGACGGTCTGGGCCCCGCGGGAACGCCTTCGGCGAGGCGCAGCTGGAGAGCACCCCGAGGCATCAGAAAGAGAGAGAGAGAGAGAGGATGACGATGACGATGAGGACGAGGACGAGGAAGAGGAGGAGGAGGAGGAGGAGAAGGAGGAGGAGGAAAGCGCTATCGACAGGGAAGGTGGGGGCCACGAGGTCCGCTGGCTCGACGACGCCCGCGTCGCCCGCGCCCGCCTCCTCACTCTTATCCGCAATTGCGGGGTGCTACGTATTCTCGCCTGTGGGGCGCGTGCGTGCGCGCGTCAGCGCACTCAGGGCCAGGCGGCGAAGCACGTGGGCGCCCTCACCGGAGTTTCATCTTGGAGGTCCCTGCATCTGCCATTCGGTGTGCATGCACGCTTTGCGGACTCATTAGGGGATCGACTAACTACAACATTGATTTTTATTTCAAATTCATAGTTTCCGTCTTTCGTAGAACATCTTTTGAGTAACAATTTTGTGAAACTTAATTATGTAGTCGATCCCCTACTCGACTCATTCCGCGTGTGCAGAGGATAAGTAGCAGGAACAAAAGGAGGGCCCGGAAATCCGATATCGTGAATTACTCACTACGGGACCAGCCCCCCGCAAGTCTCGAACCATTCCCCAGGACTAGGTTTTCATCCCGAGTCGTTTTTTGACGGTCCCGGTTCCTGGCGAGGGCCTCTAGAAGCCGAAAGCGGGGGAAACAATTCCGTCTTCATTTCTTCGAAACGCTGGGTCTCTGGGGAGGAGGAGGAAAAAGAGGAGGAGGAGGAACATGAGGAAAAGGATGAGGAGGAGGACGAGGGCGAGGAGGAGAAAGAGGAGTAGGAGGAGAAGGAAAAGGAGGAGGAGGAGGAGGAAGAGGAGGAGGAGGAGGAGGAGGCTCACGCCACGCAGGGGGAGAGCGCCGCGACGAGGCGCCGCCGCGCCCGGCGACGACCCAGAGGAGGCCTGGCACCGCCTCGGGCGCGAGGCCCCCCGCGCTGCGCCGCACCGCGGCGTGCCCCGCGGCTCTCCCGGGCCGCCTCGCGTCGTCGTCGTCGTCGTCGTCGACGACGACGTCGCCGCGGTCGCCGTCGCGGTCGTCGTCGCCGTCGTCGCCGTCGTCGCGGTCGTGGTCGTGGTCGCCGTCGTCGCCGTCGCCGTCGTCGTGGCCGTCGGGGACGCCGTCCAGACGCCGGCATGCGGACCACGTTGGAATCAGGAGGGGCTGTGAGGCCGTTCCTCAGATCCGGGTCGGAGATCCTTGCGCGGACGAGGCTGGCCGTGGCCAGAGGAATCCCGTCGTTCCTTATTCGGCGTTTGGTATCACGAGGGCTGTACCTTTTTGTTTTTGCTTGTCCTTTGGTTGTTCAACTTGTTGGGGCCTCCGTGAGTTCCGGTGTCGTCATGGCAGGGTTCCCTTCGAAACCTCTGGTCGCCGTCGCCGCTGGCACCGCTCGGCCAGGACCTATTCCAGGGCTGCGAGCAGAACAGTCTGAACCGATTGGAAGGATGATGGACTCCCCAAGGGTACCCTTGCATCCATGCCTTTTCGGTCATCTTCGGTCCATCCTCCGCCACTTTCGATCGCCAGCCCCGCTCGGAAAGCTCGGCATGAGCGCTCGTCGGGGTGCTTCTTGTGAGGGCCGTGCCCCTGCGCTCTGGAGAAGCACTTGCGGGGGGGGGCTGTTCGACTCCTGCTTCGGGTGCGCTTGCTGAGCGCCCTCGCTCGTCGGGGTGCTTGTGGGGGTGGTGTCGCTGCTATCTCGAGAGAAGCACCTGCTTGGGGTGGGGGGGGGGGGAGGGGGAGGCCCAAGGAGGAGGAGGAGGAGGAGGAGGAGGAGGAGGAGGAGGAGGAGGAGGAGGAGGAGGAGGGAGGCCCAGAGCTGGGTTCCTCTCCTGGCCCAGCTGCCGGCCAGGCGGCTGCCCTTTCCCGGAGCGTTTCTCGTGGCCGTCGGCCGCGGCCCCGGGCGAGGCGTGCGCCCCGACCGTGAGGCCCTCGACCCGCACACCGGCCGCCGGCCGCCGCCCACCAGGGCCTCCCAGAAGAACCCCAGAAGCCCTCCCTCCTCCTCCTCCTCCTCTCCTCCCTCCTCCTCCCCTCCCCCCCCCTCCTCCTCCTCCTCCTCCTCCTCCTCCTCCTCCTCCTCCCGAGCACTCCTCGAGCAAGCAGGTATTTTTAGATTCTCGGATTCCAATCTACTGCAAGCGCCTTCTTACCTCCATGATCGAGTGGCTTCACCTTTTCCGTCCTCTTTTGGGGGGGCGGGTGGACACCCAATCTTCTGTCAACGCCTTCCTACTTCATGTTTCTACCTACTTCCTCCGACCGACGTGTATTTGCGATCACTTCTGGGATCCATGGCATCACGCGAATTCGTCGCACAATCGTTGGCTCCAATCGGCGTCACCGCAACATACAAATACGAATCGTGTGCGTCGCCCCCCCAGGGGCGACGCGCGCACTAATACATCGTACAGTATCTACTTCGTGGCAGGCTCTTTGTGGCCACACCGCTCGGGAAACGATGTACTGCAAGATGGGTATACGAGATGTTTGGGTCGGACGCGCGCCTCCAAGGAGGACAGATGCTAGTACTTGTATGTCCCTGGGCATCCCACTATAGGAGTGCTGGGACCGCGGCGGTCCACGCTCAACAGGTGAACATGCGCCCCCCCTCCCCGCGCGCCAAGGCGGTGCTGCTCCGCGCCGCGGCCTCGGCCGTGACCGCCTCGCGGTGGTGGTGCTGGTGGCTCACGGACCTCCCCCTTCGTCCAGGGGGAGGAGGATGGAGGAGGAGGACGAGGAGGAGGAGGAGGACGAGGAGGAGGAGGAGGAGGAGGAGATGGAGGAGGAGGAGGAGGAAGAGGAGGAGGGGAAGGAGGAGGAAGAGGAGGAGGGGAAGGAGGAGGAGGAGGAAGGGGAGGGGGAGGGGGAGGATGGGGAGGAGGGGGAGGAGGGGAGAGGAGGAGGAGGAAGTGGGGAGGCCGTGGAGGTGTCGGAGGTGGACGTGCTGCCCTCACAGGCCCGCACGCTGGTCCGTGGAGGAGGAGGGCGGGAGCGGCTGAGGGCCCGGGGGCCCCTGCTGGAGCAGCGGCGGGGGGAACGTCTCGGGGCTCACGAGACGGGGGTCCATGCAAACTCAGTATCGTTTAACCGATCCCTATCCCCGTCCTCATCCACATCTCGAGCCCCACCGTCTCACCACCGCAGTTGGGGAGATGCCCCTCGAAACCCGAAGACAGGCAGGCAGACAGAAGTGCCATACGCCGAAGCGCGTGGGCAGGCGACAGCGCACGCCGATTGCCGCTTTGCGGGAATGGCGGCCTACCAACATTCTCTCTTGAATTGCCCAAGGTTAGCGTGCAGAAGGGGGAGGGGGAGGAGGAAGAGACGATGCAAAGCCTGCCACAAACTTTCGCCAAGCTGCGGGCTCGCGAATGCGTTGCATTGCGGCCTTCTTTGAAGCGAAGTGCGGACCGATCGTGTTCATTAAGCATTTTGCCCATTCATTCCTCGGCCGCCCTACAGCCCGAGCGCAAGCGTCTGTAGCTGGTCGCAGGCATCCGTTCTGAAACGTAAGGCGCCGCAACATATTCGAATTGATAGCCCTGCTTATTGTTCCAAACCACAGAAGTTGTTGTCTCAGGAGCTGCGTCGTGTACGGGTCTTGATTGGCTCGCGGCAGCACGTCTCTGTTGGGAACTCTGGAGATGTACGCGGACGGGATGTTCAAGATATTGCGGAGGCACTGGGCCTGAAAACAATCTAGCTGTCAACGTTTTGCCTTGTTGAGCCAAGCCGAATCCGGAGAATACATTACCTTACTCGTGACGAGAGATGGGACAACTTGAAGTTTGCGGGCCTTCCCGATAGCTGTGTGTTTCCACGCGCGCCTATATCTGCAAAATTCACCCCAAGCTGCCCCCAATCGTTTGCTTAATTCTTCAGACAGACGGCCTGAGCTCGAGATTGTTGCCCCAAGATACACAATTGACTCTTTGGCTGGGATTGGATCGCCCTGTGGGGTCAAAAGGCTCATATCGCAATTAACACGCATGAGCTGGAACTTGTCCCAATGCAATTCCATGCCGACCCAGGCCCCCGATTCTGTTATTTCTCCCACGAGCGATTGCATATGACTTGGTCACGTCCAACGAGCAGCGTGTCGTCGGCGTACAGTAACACAGCCATTGTTTCCGATCGAAGAGCCTCACGTACACTGGAGTCTACGTGGCGCTTGGCGCCTCGTAGTACCATCGTCATCACAAGAACAAGCAAGGGCGGTGCAAGCGGACAGCCTTGGGATATTTCAGAAAGCTGCCGTCTTTCTGTAGATGTAGGTTGTCCGCCTGCTACTTTGAACGTTCTGCTGCTGTAGATGTTGCCAACCGGCAGCCCAGGACAGCCGAAGGGCCTACTTCGACGCCGCGGCCTTCGCCTGCTCCGCGTCCTTCCCGGACGCGGGCGCGCTCGAGGCGCCGGCCCCCCTTGCCGCGGAGGGCGGGGGAAGTCGGATTCGGGCGGATGGGTCCTCTGCAGAGGTCGCCTCCTCCTCCTCCCTCCTCCTCCTCCTCCTCCTCCTCGTCCTCCTCCTCCTCCTCCTCCTCCTCCTCCTCCTTCCCCTCCCTGAGACACGAGTCCAAGGATCCCGGGCGGGGGAGGCGCGGGTCCCGAGGGACACGGGTCCCGAGGCTGCTCGCCACTCTTTCGGGCCCTCGGGGCCCTCCTCGGGCCCAGGAGCCTCAGACCACGACTCGGGGTGAAGATCTGGCCCTGGAAGAAGGCCCTGGGATCCGTTCCCCTCAGGACCCGCTTCCCCCATGCTGTGAAGGGAGTCTCGAACACGTGTGGGGGGCCACATGCGAACCCTACCCCTACCCCCCACGACTTCTGAAGGGTAGGGTGGGGTTCACTTCGCTCGGGAGGTCCCGAGCGAAGTGAAACCCACCCTCCCCCTCGGAAGTCGTGGGGGGTAGGGGTAGGGTTCGCGTGTGGCCCCCCAGTTCCCCTCGGGACCCGCTTCCCCCCTGCCGTGAAGGGAGGTCTCGAGCACGTGCGCAGCATGTCGTGGCGTCGTCCATGCCGGGCGCGCGCAGCGTGTGCGCTGCATTCTGGCATCGCCGGTCCGCGAGAGAGGCCACGCGCCGAGAGCCACGGGATGAGCTGTTGCACCCTCCTCCCTTCTCCCTCCTCCCTTCTCCCTCCTCCCTCCTCCCTCCTCCCTCCTCCCTCCTCCTCCTCCCTCCTCCTCCTCCTCCTCCTCTTCCTCCTCCTCCTCCCTGCCCGAAACCAGGAGAGGACCAGGGACGAACCTGTTTCGGTTGTAGCCAGAACCCCAGGTAAGGGGACCCGGTTAGTGATGGGGCCTTGGAGCCCCTGAATTGGCCAGAGTCACTAAACCAGGTTTGCCATAGCTGGTGTTCTTTCGGGTGACAGCAGTTCCGGTTAGTGGAAATGGTACGGGTGACGGCAGTTCCGGTTACACTTAAGTCGGGCCTGTCCCCCTACAGGGGGATTTTCGACGAAAAATGAAAAAATACACCAACATATTCCAAAAAGGCACAACAATATTCAACAAATAGTCCCCAGACTATGTTTGGATTATTTTTTGATTATTCTTGGGTTTATTATCAACTTTTCGTCCAGAATCCCCCTGTAGGGGGACAGGCCCGACTTAATGTTACACCTCTGCCCGAAACCAGGAGAGGACAAAGGACGAACCTGTTGAACCTGTTGCGACCCCATTACGGAAGACCCCCTTTCCCCAGAACCAAGAGAGGATCAAGGGGCCCACATCGAGGAAGAACTCACTGACATAAATAAACATGTGCATTCGGAGCTCCTCGCTGCTTTCTCGGATGGGTGCGCCAGAGAAGGGGGCTTAGTAGCGCAGATTCAAGAACTCCGCGCGGACCTCTAACACATCTATGTTTATGGAATTGTTTCTTCTTCTACTAACCCGCTCACGGGTCCGTAGGGCAGTGGCAATGACGACGAGGTCTCACTGCAGGGGAAGAGTCCTCACGCCCGTGTGCGTCACTGCCTGAGCTGGCCGAGTTGGCGATCGGTGAGGAGGCGCCTCCCCGCCCATCCGCAAGAAGGCCCCAGGTTCTCCAACATGGAAGGCGAAGCTGGGGACACCGTGCGCCAGGGCCATCCCCAGCGAAGCACAAGCAGCGGCATAAACATAATGTTTGTTGGGGGCACCGCGCGGAGCTCCAAGTGTGCTGTGTTCTGTTCCTCTGGCTGATAGCAGCCTCGAGCAGCGCCCGCTCCGCCCGCCCGCCGGCTGGCCCCGGGGGTGCTGTGGCCTCCAGAGCGCAGGAAGCGGTGCGGCGACGGACCTTGCGGTGAGGTAATCGTTGGGGGTCCCGAGGTCACCTGAGCGACGCAGATAGCGGGGTCCAATTCTTGAGGCTTCGCGTCGCATCCCCACCGGCCCATCCAGGCACCATGCCCACGAGAGTTGACGGGGGGAGAGAGGAAGAGGCACGTATTGTTCAACAGCGAGGGAGGCTTGGGAGGCTCCGTGGCCATCTCGAGCCGTCTTGGAGTGGTCTTGGGGCCGCTTGGAGCATCTTGGAGAGAGGAAGAGACACGTATTGTTCAACAGCGAGGGAGGCTTGGGAGGCTCCGTGGCCATCTCGAGCCGTCTTGGAGCGTCTTGGGAGCCATCTTGATCCAGTTTGGGCTATCTGAGCCATCGTGGAGGTCATCTTGGGTTCTCTGAGGCCGCTCGGGGGCCTCTTGGGGGCCTTTCGGGTACCTCTTGAAGGCCTCTCGGGGCTTCTTGGGGCGCTCTTTGGGCCCTCTTGGGAGCCCCTTGGGAGCCCAGGAGTGCCGATGGAGGCGGTCGGTCAAAAGAGAGGGGTACTCGATGGTCGTCCCCCCCTCCGGGGGCCACGATCCTCGTGAGGGGTGGCAGACATTGGCCCTCTCAGGCTCTGACACCTCGCGGCCCCTCTCCCCACAGCCTCAGGGAAAGGAGGGGGAGGGTTCCCCTTCCCGAAAGGAAGAAGGGTTGTGGAAGAGGAAAGAGAGCCTCCTTAGACCACCTGTCGTCCCAAGGGCTGGTGGGACTGCGCCGACACTCGCGCGTACGCTGCCCGCGCAAGCTCCCGCGCAGGCGCCTCCGTTCTCGCGGCGTGCCGCGCTGGCGTCCCGCGCAGGCCGCGGCGTGAGGTCGCTGTGCCACCTCGCGCAAGACCCGCTTCTGCTCTCGGCGGCGCGCCAGGTGGGGAAGTGGAAAGGGGCGGGGGCCTCGTCAGAAGGCCCAAAGGGGCTCTGGCCTCCCTTGGGTATTGCCAGGTGTACCCCCCTGGCCCAAGGTGCCCCCAGGATTCTCGGGGTGGCCCAGACGGCCTCCAGGGCACCCCTCACGAGGCCCAGAGAACCCCAGGAGCTCCACAATGGAGCGAAAAGCTGGGGGCGCCTTGGGCCAGGGGCACTTCTAGCGGCACCCGGCTCCCGAGCCGTTCTGCAAGCCCTCCGTGCTCGGAAGGGAGGGGAATGCTTCCGAGAAGCCCCGCCGCCCTCTCCTGAGAGAGTCGACCGCACATGTGGGAGCGACCCTTCGCCAGGGGGGCCCCATTGGGCGGGTCCCTGGCGGCCCCTCCGAGCCGCGGGGCGCGATGCGACAGCGGCTGCCTGCTCGCCCGGCTCTGGCCACCTTGCGCCCCCTCAGTCGGCGCACCAGAGGTCACTCTTTCGGGCATTGCCCCTCTACAGGAGGAGTATCCAAACATCGGAGGTGAGGGGGTGAGATCGAAGTGGAACGGAGAGCCCCCCTACCAGGAAATCGGTTTCGGTTTCGTGTTCGTGCATGCCGTGCGTGCGGGCGAGGCGAAGCTGCGTGGGCGGGCGAGAAGGAAAACTCATCCGGCTGAGGCGCGGCCGGACCAAATGTTTCCTTTCAGGGGGCCGGTGGGGCGCGGTGTCCCGCCGGTGTCCCGCTTCCGGCTGAGGCGCGGCCGGACCAACTGTTTCCTTTCGGGGGGCCGGTGGGGCGCGGTGTCCCGCCGGTGTCCCGCCGGTGTCCCGTCGGTGTCCCGTCGGTGTCCCGATGATGATGATGATGATGATGATGATGATGATGATGATGATGATGATGATGATGATGATGATGATGATGATGATGATGATGATGATGATGATGATGATGATGATGATGATGATGATGATGATGATGCTGCTGATGCTGATGCTGATGCGATGCTGATGCTGATGCTGATGCTGATGCTGATGCTGATGCTGATGCTGATGCTGATGCTGATGCTGATGCTGATGCTGATGATGCTGATGCTGATGCTGATGCTGATGCTGATGCTGATGCTGATGCTGATGCTGGTGCTGGTGCTGGTGATGCAGATGGTGATGGTGATGGTGATGGTGATGGTGATGGTGATGGTGATTCATGGTGATGGTGATGGTGATAGTGATGGTGATGGTGATGGTGATGGTGATGATGATGGTCGTGATGGTGATGGTGATGAAGATGGTGATGGTGATGGTGATGGTGGTGATGATGATGGTGTCCCGATGATTGATAATGATGATGATGACGATGTTGATGATGATGATGATGATGATGGTAATGATGATGGCCATGGTGGTGATGATGATGGTGCCCCGATGATGATGATGATGATGATGATGATAATGCTGATGTTGCTGATGTTGCTGATGATGATGATGGTGTCCCGATGTTGATGATGATGATGATGATGATGATGATGATGTTGCTGATCCTGATCATGTTGATGATGCGATGATGGGTGCACTTTAGGCCCGGGCAGGCATGGGTGAGTGCTTCATAATGTACGCGCGCGGACACCTTGGAAACGTCGCCCGCGCATGCAGCTCGGGGCGCAGGGGCGAAGAGAGGGGGGGGGCGCCCCCCCCCTTCGCTGCCCGCGCCGAGGGGCTGCGAGGAAGGGGGGGCGACGGGCCGCGGTGGCCGCGCTCACCTTGCGATTTGATTTTTCTCGGGTTTCTCTGCTGTCTTTTGCGCTTCGCATCCATTTGCTTGGCGGTGGCAATGGCAGGCGAATGTGGATTGGCCGCCATAGGGAGTACGTTGCCGGTCGACGCGCGCGCTCGCTTCTGGTGTTTCGTCAGGGAGGTAGGCATCGAGGACGTCGACGACCTGGCATTTTTCTTTACCACGGTGGAGGCAGCCGCGGCCTCGGGACAGGAGGAGGCGTGGCGGCGAGCTCGGCAGCTCGCGGGGCATCCGCGAGTGGCAGCGTGGCACAGGGTGGCCCGCGAGGCGCAGTCAGCGCCGCCCGCGCGCAAGGCGGACGCTCCGCCACGCGCGCTGGCGATGGTCCTCCCTGGCTTGCGCCCGCCAAGAGGGGGGCGCGGCGCGCAGCGCGCGGCGGCGAGCGCCTCCGGCACAGAGGAGGCGGACGCCGCGCAGCGCGCCAGCGCGGCCGGGGCAGCGGTGCAGCTGTCCGCGCCCTGGGGCCCAGCGCAC